TTTTTAAAAAAAAAAAAAAAAAAAAAAAAAAAAAAAAAAAAAAAAAAAAAAAACTAATGCAAATCTTCGTTAACACAAATTCATAAGGGTCAGCTAATGTCTACTCCTACTACTAAAATACGTTACAAGCTATTAAAAAAAAAAGAAAGAAAATGATATAAAAAAAGAATTCTAATTTTTTTGGGGGGGCAGGGGAATATAAAAGATGTCTTTTAAATTCTATTACATTTGGGGATGGGGAAGGGAAAGAGGAGGCGGAACAACGAGAATTAAACCTACACCTATAGTATGGAAGATTTAATTTCATNATATATATATATATATATGTGAAAGACTTGTACGGATACCATTAAACTATAGGTTTTGGTGGAGATTAGATTTCTGCATTTTCTCCTTTGTTTCTTTTACTCCAAAACTATGAAGAGGGTCCATGGCAAGGAGGTGGTAATTGGATGCCAGTATAGCCAACATTTGCATTTTGACATTGAGAAGTAATTGGCGTATTTGCTATATGCTTCAAATTTATGTTGGTAAGTCGAACATTTAGGCAAGGGAGTCGTGCACTGCACATCAATTGCACTGCTACTTCACTTGTTGTTGTTCCCCTTATATTCTGGTAAATTACATCACTTATTCTTACTTGTGATGGCTGCATCATATAAAACCATGAATCAAAATCATCAATCACAACTCAAATATATGTTACTAAAAAGAAAATTCAAAATCTTATGAAATTAAAATTAAGACGAACCTCGGTTGATTTATCACCATAACTCTGGTCTATGATGATTGGATTTTTAACGTTTTCCATGACAATATCGCTGAACATCATCCCTATTGCTCTGTTAGGATTCGCTCCTGCAAAAGTTTTGATTCTGATACCATTTGTTGTGCCCCTCAACGTGCAATTTTTCACTATGAGTCCTTTAATTTCTAATTCGCCAGGCAACTTACCAATACTACCTACACTGTGACACATAAAAGTGTATGAGAATATACATAATAAGAGTGAACATAAAGTAAGTTCAACTTAATCAAAGGTTCGAATCATGTGGAAAAATTATGTGTACCTAATGCCATGGCCAGGGCCACAAGTGACTTTGTTAACGGTCACATTATTTGCTCCTTGTCCAAATGAGACACAATCATCCCCTGTTCTAATTACACTTCTGGAGAGTTTTATAGTGTTAGATTTGCTTATGTGTATGCCATCAGTGTTTGGGCTGTTTTCTGGAGCATCAATGCTAAGGGCATGGAACCTTACTAAATAGCTATTAGTAATATGTATATGAAATCCCATGCTATTTATCAAATTCAGCCTCATCACTTTTCCGTTCTCTACACCATTGAAGAATAAGGTCTACAAAAACAAAAGAAAAAAACATGCCAAAAGTTTAAATAAAAAGGAAACCGAAATTGAACTTGATAATAAAAATATATTGGAGTTGCAGTCTAGTGGTTCACTTACGTGCAAAGGTGGATGAAGCATAATATAAAAAATTGAACCCAATATTCTTTTTACATGCATAATAGATAGTATATATAATTAAGAAAAACTTGCTAAATTTCAACAAATATTATATTCTGAAATCGTAAGGCCCTCCTTTTTGTTCCTTTTCCCGATCCGCCCATCCCAAAAGAGAGAGGCGGAGAAAAAGAAAAATTAATCTAAATAGCCTCTCACCCAACCGCTTAAACTACAAATAGTCGGTAGAATTCATATATAATTAGTGCATAAAAAATCCGACTGGCTATTTGTGAAAATCCCAAAAAAAGAAGAATTAACTCTTAAAAGAGGAAGAGAGGGATCGGGATACGAATTATGAGGAACTTACAGCAGGGAGGTGGACACAATTAAGATTGGTTTTACAGTAATTAAACTGCCAAAGAGCTTGACCTTGAGCATCTAAAGTGCCTCCACCAGTAATAATAATGCCATTAATTGAATCAAAAGAAATCCAAGCAAAGTTTGAATATTCAGAAACATCAGCCACTGCTTTTAACGTTCCTGCAATTTGAACCATTATAGGATGTGTTCCTTTGCATGGTCCTGAAAATATGGTCTCTGCTAGTGTATATACTCCAGGTGGTACAAAAACTCTTGCTCTTCCATTGAAATCACATGCTGCTCGCCATGCCCTCATAAATGCCTGATTTTTTTCATACAAACATACACTCTTTCAATTCAAGAAAGATTTAATCTCTCTCTATATATATGTTAGATTTTATCTAGTTTTTGTTTAAAAACCATGCAACATAAAGATAAAACTGACAAGAAAAGTGCCAAATTCCCTATGAAAAGATTGAAGCTGACAATTTGTAAAGCAAGACCAGCGGAAACGAACTCATAATGGGCATTTTCGGCTAGTTTTTAGTTTAGGAGTCGAGGCAAGTATTCGCGCCCTTATTATATCTTTAACCGGAAAATTATTTAATATAGTAAATCATTTCTACAAAGCTAAAGCAACTTTTTGCCTCATCACATATGATATACTCTATCTATTTTAAGTTAGGTGAGACATTTTGCTTATCGAGAGTCAATTTGACTAAATTTTAAAATTAAATTAGATTAGTTCAACTCAATATTTAAAAATTAAATTTTAGATGTTCAAAAACTATACGAAAAGAAGTATAAGTTGCAATTCTTTTTCATATCAATATGATAAAAATATATATATTTTAAAACATTGGTCAATAACTATACTACCAAAAAAAATTATATGATATAGTACATAAAAGAGTTCGTCACCCAATCCATATTAGAATGCAAGGCCCGCCCCTAGCCAATGTTAATTGCAAGATAGGGAAAATCATTGGAAGGCAATAGGATAAATGATATATTGAATTGTATTGTTTCATGCATTTCGTTCTAGATTTTCTTTTAAAATATTTACAATAGAAAATTTCTTTTAGATTTCCCTAGGTTGGTAATAAATTTTGCTTAAATATTGGAACAAAGCGAAAGGAGGTACATTACCTGTGTGCTTATGAGTTCTGAGTTAGGTTTGGCACCAAAATTCAACACATTAAAAATGGTTTGATCAGCAATATTATTGGCACCTGCAGGTTGAGGAAGAAGGCCACCAACTACAGCTGCATTGCACGTAATAATCAAAGCTGAATACAACACAAGAATGAGGACTAAACCAATCGTAGTCATGGCCATTTTTGCAAACCCCTCAATTTAACCTTTTTTATTACCTTGGGCTAAAAGAGAGTTTTAGATTCCACAAATTTAAAGCATTTTTTAGCTCCTACCCAGAATTTATTGGATTGACCTCAATGGGGTAAGAGCTCTCTCTTTGCATGAATTCTTCTTCCTTGCCATTTTATTAGCAAATAAGGAAAATTCCTCCGATAAATGCTCTTAAGTTAGTCTCACTTTGAGGACGTTGTTGCTTCTTTGCTTGGCTCCTTTAATTTAGTTGTGACATTAATTTAGATATTATCATTCGTATATTTTCTAAATTCATTAAATTGCCTACCGTAAATTTACGGTTGTTGTTCTTTCTCCCTTTGTGCCTAAAAATAGTGTAGTAATCCATCCTTTCACTTTTAATTGTCTACGATAGACTTTACATGTCCCTTAAGAAATAATAGATGAAATATATATTTTACTATAATATCCATAATAATAATAATAATAACAACAACAACAACAACAACAACAACAACAACAACAAAAACAACAACAACAACAACAACAACAACAACAACAACAACAATAATAATAATAATAATAATAATAATAATATCACATTTTAAGAAGTCTGGAAAATAACTTACGGAATGAGTAGTTAATGAAGGGTAAAACGTAAAAAGAGTTTTATTTTTTCTTTATTTGCTAAATTGGACAAGTAAAAATAAAAATATTTTTTTTATTAGGGTGGACAAGTAAAAGAAAACAGAATAATACATATAATTAACTGCTTAATTTTCTCTCTCTCCTCACTCTCTTTCTTTTTTCTTTTATTTATTTAGAGGTGCAACCTTTCTACCTCCATTCTTTCCAATTTTATTGATTTCCTCTCAATGACAAGCATGCATGCTCATTTCTCATAATTCCTACAAATATTTTGTTGCTTTTGAGAGTGTGAGGGTTATGGGAGGCTAGTTTCGTGTCTCCCAAGTCCTAAGATTACTCTTCGACTCTTAACATCCACGTGGTCTTATCTAAACCTTCACTTCCGAACAAGATTTTTTTAAAGAATAAATAATTGCAAGAATGTGGGTATAGGGGACATGTTTGTATTCTAGCTAGCTGATCAACAAGAAATAGCGAAAATAAAAGAACAAAAACATGAGAGATATCGTAACTAGGGGCATACATGGATGGATCGGGTTAGTTCGAATTTTATCAAAACCAAACCAAATTAAATATATCGGTTTGGATTAGTTCAATTTTATCGATTTTTTCGAATTTCTCGGGTTTTTTATTACATGAATGCATAGAATAAAATCGGTTCATATTAAATTCTCGAATGACAGAGTGACACGTGGAACCGGGGAGGGGGAGGCAGACGGAAGATGAAGCAAGTGAAAACCAACACCGAGGACAACAAGCTTCGGTTGGCACCGGGTAGAACACGAAGGGAACATTATCGACGAGAGCAAACGAATATTTGTCACCAGATGACATTCAATGAAGAATATTCCTTAGTATTAAATACGCAACCGTTACAGAGAATTTTGGCATTCATGACCTACCGTTACATATCCATCAACGTCCCTCGTCATTGTCATTTAAGAGGGGCTTGATCCTAGGACCTTGTTCCCTAGGTATAGCTATAAATAGTGGCTTCAACAACCATTGTAAGACATGAAAATTTTGACAAACTTATGCTACACACTATTCTCAAGCTAAACAATAATTTATTTTCTATTTAACATTATGCTTATTGCTGCCTTCGGAAGCTTTGCTCCCGGAACCAAATTATATGCTATTTTATCTCAATTTCAATGCTAAGTCTTGCATTTTATTTAAGTCGTTTATCATTTTCGGGATCAAATCGATTCGCTTGTCTATAAATCATGCTATAAATTCAATAGTACCGTTTTACGGGTAAACCGTTTGGCGCCCACCATGTGGCTTAGAATGCTGCGTAGTGGAGTTGATCCCTGCATCTATTACTAACATGTTTGATTCTTTGTTTCACAGCAAAAATTAAAAAAAATGGCAGCTAATGATGTCAACATCACACACAACGTTGAGGCACAAGAGAATCTGCCTCAACATGAGGATTCGATTAGTGACACCCGCGACGAGGAGGACATAGCAGCTCCGGTATATGGCGGGCGTTATTGATAACTAGGAATTCTAGTCTATTTTATACTCTTTTTTTGCTTGAGTTTTGGATTAAAAATGTACACAAGTAGTCCCGAAAGCTTACATGTTGTGCTTGTTTGTAGTATTTGGTCAAAAAGTGACAAGAAAGTCAAAAACCAGCTCAAAAAGGAGTGAAACCTGCTCAAGTACCAAGAACAAGTCAAAGCACTGCTACAACAGTACATCCACCGCAGCAGCAATAGACCCACCGTGATCGCAGTGCATTTGTTGCGGTCCGCGGTGGAAAAGATCAGAGAGATGCAATTTTAGAAGCTCAAGCAATGCGGTCCGTGGTATATTCTTCGCGGCCGTAGTAGTCTCATCGCGGCCTCATTCCATTTATTGCGGTCCGCGGAGAGGGGATTCAGAGAGCTGGGATTTTGGAAGTTCAAGAGTGCATTTTATGCGATTCGCGGTGGCCAGATTCAGAGACCAAAACTTGAAGCCAAAAAGCCTCACCCCGGTCGCAGTCCATTTTTTGCGGACCGCGGTACCTACGTCAGGGGTATTTTTGTCCAGAAAATTTGGCCTTGTATAAATACTTCTTTTTCAGATTTTTAGGGTATCTTTATCTTGGTAGAGCACGTGAACGGCGATTTTAGTCTATTTTGAGTAATTTGTAGCTAGTTTAACGCTGAATCTATAAATCTTAGCTTGTAATTATATTTTATGGGTTATTCTTCATCTAAATATCTGATTTCTTCCATTATTATGAGTAGCTAGACCCATTAGCTAGGGTTGTGGCTCAATCTTAGTGTGGGTATTTGATAGGTCTTTTGTTTTAAGGCTTAGATGTTTATGGGTGGTTGATATTTGGACTGATTTGTGTTCTCCATGTTGAATTAGTGGTTGCAAACACTAATTTGTGCCTTTTTGACTTAGGCTCTTCTTGAGAAAGAGAGCTTGAGTCTAGGAAAATCAGTCCAACAAGGAATTGAGGTGTATTCAATAGATTGATAGCCCCAATTAAAGAGTTAAACCTAGAGATAGTAATACCCGACTTGAGCCTATATTGCTTGCACAATTTTGACACCCAATAGGTCTTGAGAAAGTCAATTAGGGCAAAGTCACTCAAGCTACCGAGAGGTATAGAGTGAGTAGTTTTGTGCATTGGCTATATCACAATCCCCGACATAACAACTGTGCCTTAGGCTTTAGAACCCATCAAGTATTTTCCTAGGAGAAAGTCACTTCCCTAGTGCCTCGTTTCATCCAGTGTATTATGTGAGCAAGACAATGAATGATGCTCAAGTGAATTACACGGTGACTAAAAAAGAGTTGTTGGCTATTGTGTTCACAATTGAGAAATTTCGGCTGTATCTCATGGGCGCCAAGGTCATAGTTCATACCGATCATGCCGCACCCGATACTTGATGACGAAGAAGGATTCCAAATCTAGGTTGATGTGATGGATCTTGTTACTTCAAGAGTTTGATTTGGAGATTGTGGACCGAAAAGGGTGTGAAAACCAAGTGGCGGACCACTTGTCCCGCTTGGAGGAGGAGGGGAGGCCTCGTGATGCCCTAGTGATCAATGATTCATTTCCCGATTAGAAACTCCTTTCTGTGTCGGTGAATGGTATGCCATGGTTTGCGGACGTTGCTAATTTCTTTGTTACCGGTGTTGTCCCGCGTGAGCTCTCTTCTAACCAAAGGAAGAAACTTAAACGGGATAGTTTGGACTTCTATTGGGATGAGTCGTACTTGTTCAAAATCTGCACTGACGGTGTGATCCGGAGGTGTGTCCCGGAGGAGGAGCAATTGAGTATCTTAGAGGCTTGTCATTCCTCCCCATATGGTTGTCATCATGGTGGGGTGAGAATCGCTTTGAAGGTTCTTAGTTGTGGGTTTTACTGGCCAACTTTGTACAAGGATGCAAGTGAACCTGTAAAGAGATGCAACGAATGTCAAAGAGCGGGTGGAATATCGAAGAAGGATGAGATGCATCTCAACACTATTCTCGAAGTTGATATTTTTGATGTGTGGGTGCATTGATTTCATGGGCCCATTTGTTAGTTCATGTGGCAACACATACATTCTAGTGGCAGTTGACTATGCTTCAAAGTGGGTTGAGGCCGTGGCTTTACCCAATAATGAGGCCCGGAGTGTTGTTGTGTTTCTCAAGAAGAGTATTTTTACTAGGTTTGGCACTCCTCGAGCAATCATAAGTGATGGGGGGTCTTATTTTTGTAATAGAGCTTTTGACACTTTGCTTGCAACGTATGATGTCAATCACAAAGTTTCTTCCCCTTATCATCCTCAGACGAGTGGCCAAGTTGAAGTCTCAAATAGGGAAATCAAGAGTATATTGTCAAATATGGTCAATGCAAATAGGACCGATTGGTTAAAGAAATTGGAGGATGTTCTATGGGCTTATAGGACTGCTTACAAGACTCCGATTGGTATGTCTCCGGTAGGTTGGTGTTTGGGAAATCTTGCCATCTACCGGTTGAGTTAGAGCACAAGGCCATGTGGGCTTTGAGGAAGCTGAATATTGAATGGGATGTGGCAGCAAACCTTTGTGTAGAGCAGCTTAATGAACTTGATGAATTCTGATTTCATGCCTACTCCAGTTCGTCCTTGTATAAGGAAAAGATGAAGTACCTTCATGTTAAGTATGCTCGTGGCAACGAGTTCAAAGTGGGTGATTTGGTTCTCTTGTTCAATTCTCGGTTACGTCTGTTTCCAGGAAAGCTTAAGTCGAAATGGAATGGACCTTTTGAAGTGGTGCTTGTGACTCCTTTTGGTGCACTTGACTTGAAAAACAAAAATGGAGAGGTCTTTAGAGTTAATGGGCACCGGGTCAAGCACTATCTTGGAAAGATTGATGATAGCCACATAGTGACACTGATCCATCTAAAGTGATTTGATGGTAACCTGCGTCATGCCGCAACGTTAAATCAGGCGCTTCTTGGGAGGCAACTCATGTGTCTTTCTTTTTGTTTTTATTTGATTTTCTTTTTAGTGTAGGATTTGCTTTTGGACT